TTTAATAAAAAAAAATTTTTCATAAACTACTAACGTATAATAGACTTAAAATAACCCAAGAGACAATCATCTTTTAGTTACTACATTTTTAAATATTTGTAAGTGTGTAAATTCTAAAAACTTTCAATTAGATAAGTAAGATAATCCAATATTTACAATATTACAAGAAATATAGATCGAAAGGATGACACCTCGAATCATTCTTTTTTATTTTTATTTTTTCTAACACTTTGTAACATTCCCTGGTAAAAAATGAAAACCTGTTGACTGACCCATAATAGTAGCGTCCTAACAGACCCGACAAGACGTAATAATGTTACCTAATGACGTCGCCTACTCAGACTTTAATAAACTCTTGAAACATTGATATAGTGTGGAGGTTTTATGCCGACCCCAACTGCGTATTCAGGATGAACAAAAGCACGCACTTTCCCCCAGAGAATAATTTCGCGAAAGGTTACCCGTTTGGATTTTAGAGTGGACGACACAATGTCGGGTTGAAGTGAAACTACCAAATGAACAAAGCACATGGGCATTCTATTCAACGGTGGGAAAGCTTCCCATTTTGTCAATGAAATTCAATGATACGAATCTAGTAAACCACAAAGAAACGTATCTTATACGATACAATTATTAAATGAGTTTATTCTTTTCGTAAAGAAGCAACCGCTTCATTTCTATATCGCCATTACGCCCTCTCTTCTGGCCTACTGTTTCCCTCTCTCTATGCGTACTAGCCCCATAATAGCTTCTCACAGCTTTATATTTCCCAGGCTTTTACACCATTACAATTATATAACTACCATCCTTTCAGTATCTCTATCATTCTTTATTTCTCTATCGTCCTATCGATATCGCTTTCAGTCCTTAGCCCCTTTCCCTCTCTTAGCCTCCCAGTTTGTATCACATCCTTGCAGTTTGTATGAGAATATCATTTCCTATATCTGTCTCTTCCTCCCATTCTCTTTTACCAGCATCCGTTTCTCAATTACCCAGCAACCCATTACTCTCATTTTCAAGATCTACCCCATCCTTACGGTCAAGCTCTCATCTTCTCAGTGGCTCATTCAGGCTCTCAGCCTAACTTTTTCTGCCAGTCTCCCAGTTCTGATAACTTGGTTTTTCCACATACAGGCCTTCCCGTTTCGTTCTCTCACACAGAACCTTTAGGTTTTTCTCGTCCAATATTTTTTTCTACCTGTCTATCAGCCATCTTTTCAGTCTACCAGCCCACTTTCTCTATCAGCATCTTTATCCTATCCCTTTTTCATATTATCAGTTTTTTTTTCCTTTTCAATTAGCCTCCGTGTCTCAGTTTCAATCTAAACTTCCAGTACCTTTTCGTGACTCCGATTACCTCTTTTATTTCCTCCTTTTTTCTGCTTATTATTCAAACTTACAGTTTTCTTTCTCCTCTCAGACTCCCGCTTCTGCCATCAGCCTCTCACCTTTCCAATTTCTCTTAGTCTCCCAGTCCCCATTTCTCAACTCAACAGATTTATTTTTCATGACCTTCGAGACTCTATCATAATTCTAGTGACTCATATTTCCCAGCATTTCTCTTTTTCATGCTTTCATGATTTTTTGCATCCTCTCAGGCATTCTTTTTCTCCACAATATACTCTGTCAATCTTCTGTATTTCCAGTCAAATTACCGTTTTCCCAGTCGCTCTTCCAAACACTCTCACACTCCCTCTCCAAAACTCGCTATCACTTTTATTTTTTCTGCCTCTCTTAACGCCCCTTCCAGTCTCTCAGAATTCTAATCCCTCTTTTCCAGTCAATACACCAGCCTCAGCCAGAAAGTCTCTTCAGGTTCGCATTATTTCAGTTAAATCGTCTCTCTCTTTTTCACCTTTTGCTTTTCTGTCATCCTCTTAGTCAGTCTGACATTTTCACAGTCTCTCATTTATACTTATTATTTCCCCTTCACTTGTGATCCAAAACCAGATAAAACACTTCCCCTTGTCGAGTGGGTCAGCCTAGCACAACTGATAATACCTTCGCGGGTCGAAACGTAAATGAATGGTATTCTAGTTCATCTAGTTGCCTTGCAGTGAAAGACAGAGGACGAATTTAGTTCGGCGAGTCGAAACGTAGATGTATGGTGCTCTAGTTCATCTAGTTGCCTTGTAGTGAAAGATAATGACCGCCTTGGGGAGTCTCGTTTATTTTTGATATTCGAGGATTGTGACTTCTGTTAATCACATACATGGCGTCTTTTTAGGAGGTGATGACTGTTGCGTCATATTCATCGAACTAACATGCTGTCTAGACGCATCTGACTATTAAATTCCTGGGAACGCGATGATTACTGCCGGTTGCTAGGTACTCTAGTTTCTTCAGGGAGAGTGCGCGGTGCCTGAACAGATCTGTATCTGTTGAGTGGGGAGGGTGAGTGTAGACCCCATGTGACCCATTGTACATCCTCCCGAGGAGTTGTCCTCTTAGGTCATCGTCCATCCTGTCCTGAAAGATGGACAGGTCTGTAGGAGAAATCCCCTCTATATCGGCAGGTGTAGGCCAAGGACATACACTCTTTTATTGACGATAACTCCGGACACTCGCATAAGACATGCCGGACAGTTTTATCTTCCACTAGCCCCATAATATGGAGGTGTTTCCTTACTTGATAGTGGTCAGTCAGAAATCCTACTGTTAAGCGAGGGTTTTCCTGGTCATCGCCAGATATTTCTTCGGCACCAGCTTCTCAGGGTCAACCAGGGTGATCCTGGCAAGCTGCATCCTTTGATTACATCCCATCTCTTCAGGGATTGAGTATGGTTGTGACGTTTGGTTGGTTCCGCAATTGTCGAAGTCATCAAGCTGTAGGTGTCACTTACCTGAACAGTTGATCTTGCTTATTATAAAACATTGACATAGGTGTTGTATCGAAGGAAAGATGTAATACATTCCAATTTTCAAGTGTCTTGACACATTTGATTTCACCAAGAGCGGTACATATCAGAAATACGTGACGGACTGTGGCTGCTCATCACTCAACTCAGCACAACTCGAACTTCACTGTTCAAGATCTCTTTCATCTGTATAACTGCGTTTATGTGGAATAAACTTCCTCAGAACGTTTTTCCAAAAGGATTCAATCTCCAACGTCGACTTTTGGAATTTCTTCCTGACGTTTAGCTGGTGCGAGTTGCTAGCTTCCTCAGAAGTTCATACATCCTGAGTTCATCTTGCTCCCATCCATCTCCCACGAGAAATGCATTCAAATCGCGCAAAAATTTTCAGTTTGTTTCACCATCTTCAGCATTTCCTCCACCGTTTCCTGTCCACTCCTATTACACTCCGCCGTCAAAAACATTCGCGTTACATTAAAAGAGCAATTATCCCATAATGCCGGCAACAATAGTTTCTCGTCGTCGAGCGAGTGGGGAGCGTGGAAAGCAATCAAAACTTCGTCTGTGAAAGTTGGAGTGACGTTTTTTTCGCGAAAACTGCTGTTTCCACCATGCCTAGTTGAAATGCCTAACACGTAATATTTCGCATTCGAGTTGACTTGACGAAAGTTTATCGGTCCGCTCGAAACTTCTGAATTTGAACTTTGGTTATTTTCAAGCACAAAATATAGCACAACTCCTCGCAAAATCCAAAAACTCATCAAGTTGGTCATGCGACGTGGTCACAACAACAACTCTTTTAAAAAATATGGAAATGGAATGATATAGGCGTAAGTGAAGTGATCAAAATGTACAGTGATAGTACAGTTTAAATGCTGCGTTTATTCGACACGGAATGACCCAAGTTGAACTTAATCTCGACATTCAAAGGCATTGAAAACACATTTTTAGTCATGACCTATCTGTATACCAATGTAATCTGTTATACAGTGTGTCAATTTTAAAACTTACAATGGGCTATATCTCTCGAACGACAGCTGATATCGAAAAATGCTTGAAACCCATTGTAAGTTTTAAAATTGTCACACTGTATATAGTTTTCCAGCAGGCAATTTCGATCTTTGACAATTGATAAAGGCCATGTTGTTGAAGCTACATCTGTCAAATTGGTTGTCAATTATTCAGTCTGTTTCGCCAAATCATCAAGGATGGATATAGTATTCAAAAACACGAGCAAATAATAAAATTGTTTGATCAAAATGGGTACTCTGTTAGGACAATGTTTTGCGTCGTGACTTGAGCCTGCACCCGTATAAAATTCAACTGACACGCAGGAACCGAAGGTAAACGACCATATACAACGACGTATGGTAGCTGAAGGGGCTACGGAGCAGTTGGGAACTGACCCTTATGTTCATAGAAAAATCACCTTAGCGATGAAGCCCATTTCTGGATGAATGGGTACAATTTGTGAAATTGTCGAATTTAGGACGATACCAATCCACATGAGATCCAAGAGCGTCCAATGCATCCCGAAAAGGTCACTGTTTGGAGTGGATTCTGGGCTGGCTGCGCCGTCGGTCCATATTTCTCTGAGAAAGACGTTAGCCAGACCATCACTATTAACGGCGGACACCACAGGTCAATGATTACTAACATTTTTTGGCATGAACCAGATGATCAGCACATCAACGACATGTGATTTAAACTAGACGTGCCACACAGTTCATGCCACATTGGATATTCTGCACTAGCGATTTGAGGATATGGTCATCTCACGCGGTGAGCTGGCCACCTAGTTGTGGGGTCTGTCAAATTCAGTCTGAATCATGCGCCAGAGTCATGGAAATTTTGGACGTTTAGATGATATTCTTCATTTTATTCAAATTTATAGAGAGGAAGCGGTTAATGGAATATCCTTTACAAGTAAGCGCTGCTTACGAAAACACTACAGAGGACTAAAACAACCAATATCAGTGATGACCGATGCTCCCAAAGTTTTGTATACAAAACTAGCACGGAAACCCAATCGTGCCACATTCAAAACATAAATCTTCCCCACGTCTCTAACCCTTAACGAACGCATGCGACGAAATCTGCATTCAGACACAATTTGGTAGATAAAAACTTATGAAATCTGACCTACATTTCGAAATCGGATTGCCAGTGATGCGGAACGCCGCACGTAGTGAAGTCGCTGGACGCCGCGACAGCTATGAAAATATGCAAATCTCTTCTCATTATTTGTAACCACAACTCGTCTCTGCGAACTCGAAAAATCATTAAAGAGATGACGTGATATCAGACCACGCGAAATTTCCATACTGAAGAAGTCGGGGCTTAAAAAAACCTCTTCAGATTCGCCGAGTACGAATCCTGCGAGACCGTATGCATTTATCGTTCCCGTCACACTCTGAAAGCAGGAACGGCGTGTTGATTTATTTGAAATGTCATGAAATTTCGCTTTTGAAAATACTCAACAACACTCTGACATAACTTGTTTTTTCTAACGGAATATACCAGCGATCCTCTCTTTTTTGACATGAATATTTTAGGATGTAGGGGATAATGAGGAGTTAAAACCCTCTTCTCTGCATGATCCAAGAACACGAGGCAGCAAGAATTGTTCTTTATGAACGGCCTAGTTTTTGAAACTGTATAAGGGGACTATAAGCGCCCTTTCACATGGGGAGCTTCACGTCTCCCGCTCCCGAAGAGGAAGGCTCTTAGCGCCAAAATACAACGAGTTCAATGGAGCTTTCAGAAGAGGAGCGGGAGCCACCACGTCTCCTGTACCTAGACCTGGGGAGCCACGTCCCTGCACCTCGAGCCGGGGAGCCACGTCTCCTCCTCAATATGCAAAAGGATGAGTAAGGGCTTCCACACGAGGAGTGACAACGGCTCTACCTTCTTGACGCTTCACACTATTTATCAAGACAGATTACGATGTGCAGATGTTGATTAGTGTTGTCTGCAACCAACCCGCTCTTTGGGATAAGGACAGAAATGAAGTCGTTAGAAGTTGGATGGAAGTCTGGAAGGTGCTCAACGTAGATTTTGCAATCCGTCCCATTCATGATCGTTGACGTTTCTGTCGTCGAAATTTGTGTCGACGGTATAGAAGGTATGTGGTAACAGCTCGCGTGCGATCCATTCTAGGACTGACCTCAAAGAGCCTAGGAACTTAAAAGGCACCCGGTGAGAATGGGCTATAGCTAGGAGTAATAAATGCTCCCCTATAGGAGCAAGAGACGTCAAGCTGCCCATGTGAAAGAGTCTTAACTCTGTCACCAAGTTGGAACTCGTTCAGCAAGGGGTCTTCTTAATATGCGCGTTAATATGCGCGATGCATCACAGTAAGGCGATATTCATCGTGAAATTTGCAGCCCCGTATGAAATATGGAGATCTCTGCATACTCTAGCCAGAGCATTTTATTAAAGTAGTTGTCTTGAGAACTGGAGTTCTTGGTAGAATGGTGCCATTCATACCATTCGAATCTCAACATCACACCGGTATGTCGCAATACGAAAGTGATCTTGAAAGCCCAAATTCGGAAGACTGTGTTAATATTGGCTCATTACGTTTTTTCAGGGCACACGATTCTTGGACCCAATGATCACGGTGTAGCGAGTGGTCATTAGTTATTAATTCTAGCGTGCCCCCTGTAATTTTGGAACTTCGGGGAAGGGTATCAACAAAAAAAAACTAATAAGGCGTTTCCAACACATAAACCCAATCATAGGAAAATACGAACAATATACCTAACGATAGGAAAATATCAGCAAAGACATACTATAAAAAATATACGAAATATTGCAGTGGAAACAAAAATGAACAAATTTCCGCTCAACGTACCTCAATTCCTTGATCTTGTAAGAGATTTAATTCCATACTCTTAACGAAAAAACTCCATCGCTTTGAAGTTCTAACACTGTGAAGATGAAATAAATCCATCGTAAGTCTAAAAGTGGATTTTCCGAGATTAATTTTTGCTGCACCTGAACTTTCTTATTAATTTTTTATCTCCGCCTGCCATCGTTACATGCCTTTGATCCGATAATCTAATGAAGGTCGAGGAAAACTAATTTCGATGTTGTTTTTTTTCAAGAAATTGCCAAAGTTAGCAAATATTTTGCAAAGTAAAATATAATGAATGATAACGAAGTATTTTTTCACGAAGACGTAAAAAAACGGTAAAGTTTTTTTGTCGTGTTTTCTATAAACATAAAACGATTATTACTGACCAGTGAGCCGCCACGGTTCCGCAGGGGTGCAATGCTGATACTAAATATACATATAAACGCGTTATTTATGGGTATGCACCTCAGGCCCCCTGGCCGGTACCGCCGCAATCGCTGTAATATCTTCGAAAATATTCATTATAATTACATGCTGTAAAGGGCAATAAATTAAATGCACAATGTATTTGAGGTACTTAATTGGATAAGGACCAATGCTGTATTGCTTAAAATCGCTTCGTAAAAAAGTGAAGGATAAAAAAATGGTTATTGTGGGTTATTCCTAGGAGATAGACATATACCATCGCGGACTTTTTTGTAGACCTCAAAGTAGTAGTACATTAATTTCACAATGTTGCCTTATCTACTAGTCAGGTAAATGTGATAACTAGTAGATAAGGTACCATTGTGAAACTAAGACGCTGGTATCTAGCAGAGGTATAGTTCAAGTAAACAATATAGTGCAACCTACATTCCAACATCTCCCCTTTAATAATACAGTTAACGAGCTGACTGATTTCATTATTCAATAATCATTTCTAATTATATAAGAATCACAACGTTTATATAGGTGAGTGGGAAAGTAGGCATTCAAATAACAGGGTGACAATTGAAAATACTTCTGAATACTACTTACATATATATACAATCGACCGCTTCAAAAACACTAACTTTCTTCAAAATCTTCTGATAATTCCTCTTTCATATTCGGTCGGTAGTCAAGCGGTTCGGCGTGGGTGATTTGTTCACTCACTCGAATTGACTGCCGTGTTGGTCGGTGGTTCAAGCCCTAGTCTGAACGATCGATCTTCACTTGCTATCGTTCAACCCGTGTTAGGAATCACACGTTAAAAGGCAAGACCTCGTTAATCCTTAGCTCGCACAAGTTTCGACTTCTGAGGGTTGTCGTTCGTAGGGGTGCGACAGCTGGTTAACGGAAAAACAGATTTTTTTGAACAGATATTTTCCCTCTAGAAAATATCTGTTCAATTGAAATTACTTTTTTAATCCTTTTCTGTCAGTCTTCTTCGATAATATTAGATACTTCTTCTTTAACTAGCTCTATCACCTTCCTATCAAATTTTGGAAAATTATTTTTACACATGAAGATTTGTTTCAATTTTCCCCAAATCAACTCAATGGGATTGAAAACACTAAAATAGGCGGGAAGTCTCAGTATGGTGTGTCCATACTTTTCAGCAATACTCTCAAGGGCATACACTTTTGCAAATGTTTTTGTCTATAAAACTTTAAATAATTGGTATTAGGTATAGTTATCTTCAAAATACAAATTGCTATCTATTAAAAAACTTTGTATTTCATCTTTCCTCGAATTTTTATTCGGTACTTTGATGAGCTGTCGATTTGTCAAGAACTATAACACTATTCGCATCCGAATTTGGGATCAAAATGTTTTCAAATCATTTCTCGAAAATATTTGCTTTCATGTTCTTATGGTAGTCAACAATTTCAAAGAATTTGGAACCCATCCTTTACTTCCTCCGCAATGCACAATTAGTCGCGATCCTTTTTTTTTTGCAAGCATGTTAGGCGTACACATTCTCGAACCATTAGTCCACCCTTTCGTAACTGTGTCGTGAGTGTCATACCAAGTTTCGTCCAAATAGAAAATTTGCCGTTGTTCTCGTCTATATTTAGTTATTTGTTCGAAGTATTTGTTAAGCAATTCCACTATTCTTCTGCTTTCCATAACTGCTTATATTATTTCAAATCTAATCCTAGTTTCTTTATCCAATTCTGAAAAGTTTTGTAACAGCGGCTCACGTTATGGCCGGAAGTATTCAATTTCTTCCTTATGGTTTCAGTTGTAGGAATCTCACTGCTTTTGTAACAGCAGTATATTGTTTTTTTTCAATGATTTTATTAGATGAACATCTAAAGGTTTTGGTAATCCCGTATCACATCGCGTCTTGCGTTCATAAGGTTTCTTTTCGATTATTTTACGTACAGTTTTCGGTCAAATCTGATATTGCTTGTAATAGTTCGTTTCCCTCGAAACCCAACTTGAATGTAGTTTCTTACATACATTGAAACCTGCTCTCTGTGTTTCAATATTCAAATGTATCCGAATCTTATTCACTGGTATCCCTTTTTCGCATTGTTCACCATCGCTATTGGAATCACTACACTGGAAAAAGTCTGCACTTCATAAATCCATCAGGCAATGCCAATCACTCAGATAGGAGACATAACCATTTCAAACCTCCCTCACTACAGCACCATCTACAGATTTAATCCGAATCCAGGAAAGGAAAACAAATAAATATCCTGCGCTGACTTTCCATGTCTTCATCCTTCTACAAGATGGCACCAGTGGTCACGAAAACAGTAAAAATCAACCATTTTTATTACTTCCGCAGTAATTATTTTAAATTGTGACTGGGAGCTGGCAGGACAGATTTATGGATGGCAAACATTTACAAAATGATAACAGTGGAATGTAAAACACGTTCATGGATATGAGAGCCAGAATACACTCTTCATTCAAGAAAAGATGAACTTTTTTAAGATACCGAATTGATGTAATGAATGAATTAAATCGGTAAAAGTTTCTCAGAATAATTGGCGAAAGTCATTCATCATATATGTCTTTGTTTAATTTTTCAATTTTTTACAATATGTAACATATCATTAAAACGTTTGGAAATTCTTTTTTGTGGATCTCTTTCATTGTTTTATTATCAAAATAAATAGAACTGTTGTTTAAATCAACACAAAACGATTAATTTCATTCATAACTGTGTAACACAACACTGCTGGCGAACGAAACGGGTATTTGTCTAAAATTTATGGTGACGCATTATCTGTGAATACTTGACACACATAAAATTCTTATAAGAAATTATTCAATAACAAACAGAACTGATTTCAAACTTGTTAAGCTTTCTCGGGCATAAACTGTATCAGTATCTTTATTAGAATTTCTTTAAATTCAAAGGAGGTATTTTTTAGGAGATATTGATTTTTGGGAAAGGCTTTGGCTTTCTACTTCCCCATCTTTAC